TGAGGGTGGGGTGGGGAAAGATGTTTTGATATAAACAAAACAAATGCACTTTGGGTGTGTTTTGGTATTTTTCTGGGGCTAGAGGGGTGGGCGTTGGGATGTCCCTGTAGATTAGTTCCAGAATGGGTTGTCTGTATATATTGTATTAATAGGCATGTTTGACTCTTGTAAAGGGACATTAGTAGCTGCTGCAGGTCCTGTTTGGAACCCCATGTACAATTCCCAGTTTTTTGTAAGTGTCAGTGCGGGAGACATTTGACTCTTGTGTTTGTATCTCCTTTTTATGGTTGCTGTACTGACCCATGTCTTTTTGGGGAGGGGTGAAAAGAGATTTGAAATAAAAATGTTTAGAAATTATTTCATCATTTGAATGTGATTTTCAGTCCCTCTTCCATCTCATATGACTCTTCACACCACACCCCCTAGGGTCAGATGACCCACTCCTAGGGATTGGGGAACCCCTGTGACCTCAGCCAACCAGAGTGCACCCAGTACTGGTCTTGTCAGAATTTAGAGATGTTGAAAAATTCTTGAATCGAATGGTTGTTCCTCAAAGCTCCCTTCTTCCTTAGGACATGCAGAATTCCAAAGAGCTTTGTGGGACCAAATGCCTGAGCCTTTTTGCCTTGGTGAGCAATGGTGTGAGGCTCTACTTAGGGAGAGCTCATATTTTGTCTTAGAAATCAGTCATTCCTTGTATTTACCTAGGCTGGCAGTCAGGGTTTTTTCATAAGTTTAATTTGTATCCCTCTGTCTTTCTAGCCATTCTCTCTTGAGCTGTGCTCTTTGGAGAGGAAAAGACCAGGTATCTTTCTCTGACAATTGTATATACTTGTAGCCACTCACCAAGTTCCCCACTGAGAAAGCCAATATACCACCTTGGCACATTTGGGCGAGTTTTCTGCAATTTCTCTGCATCCTTCTTGGTGGGAAAGCATGTGAGTAAAATAAAACCAGAGTTCTCAGGAGTTGCATTTCCCGAGAACCCACTAGAAGTGCCTCCAGGAGGAAATGTGGGAATCCCTCGTCCCCAGTCAGCTCATTCACAAGTCCCAGGTTCGCGTGATGATGAAACAGTAGCATATCAATATAACAGCATTAGCTCCTGATTAAAGTTTTCTTCCCTTTGGGAAGAAAAGGTGCTCCAAGCTATGCATTGTGAACTGCATTACAAGGGGAAATGCTTAACTCAGAATCAGCAATTCAAATGCTCTAATGGCCATCAGACACCCTTTGTCAATCATAGGGAATCTGCTAACATCAGTCAAGAGTGTTAGTGCGCATCTCTGAAAGTAGGGACATAGGTTTTCATCACTTCAAATTCACATCATTCGTATTAATGAGGATTGTTTGTTTGGAAAGATAAGTACTAGTCCCTTCTGACTTAGGTGATAAAGCCACGGAAGGAAAGGCATTCTTTTGGAAACAGCCTAAAATTAAACTACCACCTCCCACCCTCTTTACTCCCCAAACCTGAAACCACTACTTCATTGCCTATGTTCCCTGTGTTCTCCGTTTAACCACCACTTTCATTCTCTCACAAAGGCTGTTCCGTCTCACCTCGGTGGTGTCTCAACATGCACGTACCTAACTTACTTGAATTCAGTTATAAGCACGTGGCAAATAGTAATAGTGCCGGGGATTCCCTCCTCCATTTCTTTGTGTGGCCCCCTGATTGAAGATGAGATGGGAAAAGTGAATTGTCTTTGTTGGTTCCCTCCAGCCTCTCCCAGTGTGAGCAGCTTGTGCATAATGATTCTAGTGCCTATTTGTGCCACGTGGGCTCTGAAGACCAACCATTTTCACCTGGTGCTCAGCCAAAGCACAAGAGCTCTGAAGAGACACTAGCTGGGTTGTCCTCTAATAAAGCCCCTTCCCAAGAGATTGATAAGAGGAATTTTGACTGTGATGTTATCCCACGCGCTGGTCCCAATTTAAGCTGTGATTTCATCATGCATCTCTCCTTAATTGCCATGTCCTAGTTTAGGCAGTCCCCTTTTCCACCTGAACAACTCAGTTTCCCAACTCATCTTCCTGTTTCCCCTCTCCAGTCCTTCTTAAAGTTCTTCTAAAGTAAAGATATGCTCAGGTCACTTCCTTAGTTTAAAATCTTCAATGACTTTCAACCTGCAGGAGAAAATCTTGGCTCCTCAACTTGACATTCAAGTCTCTCCTCCTCTGCCACACAAGCTGCCACACAAGCTGCACTCTGGTCACGATGAGTGATTTGAAGTTCTCAGATCATGGTGCCCCCTTCTCCTGTCACTCCACCTTCCTTCATGCCATCCCCTCTGCCTGGAGGACCCTTACCTGTCACCTTCTACCTGCAAATCTTCTCAGTCTTCAAGGTTCTGCTCCGAGGCCACCTCTGGAATTTTCACCAGTCACTCCCAGCCAAACAGATGTTCTTTCCTCTGTTAAGATATTTGTTCGTGTGTCTGCCTGCTTGCTCCACTGTGAGGGACAGAACCCATGTCCTGCTCAGCTCTCTTCCTGCCCCCAGGCCTGGAATGGTGGAGTAGATGTGCCAAGGTGGTGGTTGAAGAAACGTGAGATCAGCCCCCTTCCTGGGAGTGCTGCTTGCTTTCCTTGGTCTCTAGTCAGCAAACCTTGAACCTGGATTTTCACCTTTCACACAGGACAACTTGACTGTATGGGGGAGGGGTGGCCACTAAATGTCAGTCTTCAGAATTTTTTCAAGGGATTGAAGTTTTTGGTGGTCGGACTAAGGGTGGGTGGGATGTGAACCGTGGACCACTTCTTGGTGCCAATGGCATCAGGGAGAATGACAGAGCTGTACTTCACATCCTGGGCTTCTCATCTCATCCCTTGAGGTATCAAGGCCTGGCTTTCGCCCTGCCTAAGAAACTTGGCTTTGTTTCTGGGCCTTTATTCTGCAGATCGAGGGGTGATGGGACAGGCAGAAGAGTAGAACAGGCTAGCTGGGAGAGAAAAAGGTGTGAGAAGGTAACGACTGAGCTTGGGATGGTTTGGAAGGTTTGGAATGGGACAGGAGAATCTGGCAGCAGCTATCCTGTATGAGGGATTGATAGAGTTAAAGATTTCAGGGACTTTCTCTGTGTATTGGGTGTCATCTCCTGGCACCCTTTCCCTGCAGCTGCCACCCTCCCCCATGCCTGGGTGTTGTTGAAGAAAATTATAGTAGAGATATCTTTTTCTCCTGGATATGAGCATATGTCTTTGAATGGGGCACCAGATGTAGAAGTGACTGCAGGCCCAGCTTTAGACATGTTAAACTCTTATCGCACCTGGAGAGTGGGCTCTGGGTCTTGTTCATCTGCTCTGCCCCCCACCCCACAACCCAGCACTGGGCCAGCACACCAAGAGACACCCCCATGTTTGCTGGGCACGATGGAGTAGGTCAGACAGGAGGGAAGGTGGTGTGTGTGGGGGTCCTGTGAGTGGAATCACCCTCAATCCTGAATGTGGGGGTGGGGTGAGGTGGGGTAGAGTAGCCATGTGGAATAAGAACTCTGCTGGTGGTGAGGGGAGAACCCAGAATGCCATGTGCAGTTTGGAGGAGAAGCAGCAGGGCGGGGTGCAGTGGTCTCAGCCAGGACAGGAGTCTTGTGGGACTGAATCACTTGGACAATCTTTTCAAACCCCACACTCACCCTTAGACTAAGACACCCTCCTAGAATCTCAAGGAGTGGGGTGGGGGAGGAGGAGGTAAAGAAAGTGGACACAACTTCTTAGGTGCATCTGATGGGTCCTTTGCCTCCTGCCCACCCTATACCCACAGTACTCCTATGGAAGACCACCACCCAGCATTTGCAGACCCAGGTTTGAGTGCTGGCTCCACCCCTTGGCAATCTATTAATGTTTTCTCAGTCTGTCTCCTCTTCAAAAGAGAGAGAGCATTCTTATTTACCTCAAGTGTGAGTAAATGAGATAATGCATGTAAAATACCCGGTACCTCTTCAGCATTCAATAAATAGCCACAGGCACTACTCATTATCTTTATTAGCAGCATTTTGAGGAGAAGGACTGGAAGCTTTTTGCCTTCCCAAAGGCAGAAGGAAAATGAAAAGATTTCAAGCCTTTTCAGGCTGCAGAGAGGGGTGGGCTGGAGGGAAGAAGGAGGAGGGAGGAGAGGTTGTTGAAAGTAGGGCTGTGGGGTGGATGGTGGGAGCTGGCAGGGCTGGATGAATTGTTGGGCTTTTCCTGCCACCCAGTGGTCTCTCCTGGGATAGGCCACGCAGCTGTCTTCTCTGGTCTGGTGGTGATGGGGTGAGGCTGGGCTTAAATATTCCTGAACGCAGTATCTCCAGTCCAATTCTACTGCCCCCATTCAATGCTCTGGCCCTTTGGAGACCCTGGTGGGTGACACATCCTCCACATGGCCCTGGTGTATGGGACAAGTCCCCTTTCTCCTAGTGGAGGGACTGGGAGAAGCCTTTGTTTTCTTGGCTCCCAGGCAGAGTGGGGAGCTGAG